TATAGGCCTACAAATAATGATGATTTTTTTACGGGAAAGCAATTTGCAAATGCTCTTCAAAAAACACAAATAATTGATACAATATATTCCAAAAACTTAAAATACTGTTATTTACCTTGTTAGTGATTGTTGAACTGTTTTCTTGAACAAAATTCAAAGCCTTTGAGAATGAAGAATCGAATGATATAGATATCTTCAATCTAGCTTGGTACTTAGGTCTAGTCTTATTGGAGGCCAACTTGCTTGATCATACGATAAGAAACAGCGAGCTGGGTGCAAGCAGTGAGGGAGAAGCCTGGCTAACCGAATCCTGAAAATGTGGGGGGGGGGATTTTGATTGGCTGAGGCCTGTCATTTGATTAGTGTGACTAGGTCTAGCCTCGCTTAGACCAACCATATTTGCATTACAAATTGTATGCAAATAAATAAGTAAAGTCAGTTGAACTATTTTTATTTAACATATTCCTAAAAAAAATGGAGACAGGTCTTTTTATTTAGAATGGTCCTTTTCTGAGACTGGGCCGGCCTGTGGCTACAGCCCCAATAGCCTCACCTTAATATCTGCCCCCTTAAGATATCTTTCCATTGACTGACTCACATTGAAAACCATGTAGAACTTTATTCATATACGTTACTGACTTAGCAGAAACGCTTAAATGACTCATAATAACTAGCATTACCCATGTGACTGCTTGTTCTCATACAACATAGTGAATGCCGTAACTTCTAGATAGCATTTGATAGGCCAGTGAAGGACATTGCTGTCATTTACCTGCTTGAACAATATGTGAAGCTACAGTAGTATTCCTGCAGGCAGTGCAGCTATTATCTACAAGTTTGTTTGTTTTTGTTTTTTTAGGCAAAGCTACTCAAGGGCTATCTGTACTAGCCATCCCTAATTTTGAAGTGATAGACTAGAGGGAAGGCACCTAGTCAACATCAACTCTTGGGCTTCTCTAATCTAATAATGGGATATAACTATCCCCCTTACAATGAACCCGCAGCTCCAAAGTGCAGTGATGGGGAAGATATTACTTGCAAGTTCGTTTTATATATATATTAGACAAATTTGCTCAAAGACCATCTGTATCAGCTGTCTGTAATTTTGAAGTGATAAACTAAAGGGAAGATAACTAGGCAACATCAACTCTTGGGATACTCTAATTTAGTAGTGGGATATGACCTTTTCAATGCACCTACAACCCCAAAGTGCAGTAATGGGAACAAATCATGGAATTTTAGGTTCACAGTCTAGCACGCTATCTATTGGATTGCACGCGACCCATTATCTTCAAGAGAACAACAAATGGAAAAAAAATAACTAGAAAAAAACATGACATGTTTATGCAAAAACTGCATAAAATCTGACTAAGCAAAAAAGATATATTTTTATTTTCTACATTAATATAAGAAAGTAGAAAACTCGTGGTATGTCTGCATACTACAGGTGTAAACACCGCCCAACGCGAACTAAGCATTTGCCTGGGTCGCAAGGAGCTTGAATGAAATATACTTTTAACCTAAATTCCTACAATGCCAAACCATTAATCATACCTGAAAAAGACATACCAATGTTCTGTCGAAACATGTAGTATGTTTAGCCAAGAATAAAATGGGCCCGGCATGGCCACGTGGTTAGGGCGTTCGAATCCCAGTCCAACCAAACATGCTCGCCCTTTCAGTCGTGGGGACGTTATAATGTGACGGTCAATCACACTATTCGTTGGTAAAAGAGTAGCCCAAGAGTTGGCAGTGGGTGGTGATGACTAGCTGCCTTCCCTCTAGTTTTGCACTGCTAAATTAGGGACGGCTAGCGAAGATAGCCCTTGTGTAGCTTTGCGCGAAATTCAAAAAACAAACCAAACCAAGAATAAAACATTTCCTTATGATTATAAATCGTTATGTGCCTACCTATTGATGATATCATCGTTGTGTGCCTATCTATTGATGATATCATCGTTTTGTGCCTACCTATTGATTATATCATTGGATTGAAAAGACAGCATAAACTTTCATTGAACAGTCCATCAATTATTTTATGAGTGCTGGTTTGGCCAAGAACTAAACAAAGGTAAGCGCAAGACATGTCTTTATGATACTTGGATTTATTATTGGTTGTTATTATTATTATTTAGGCAACCCCGTTGTACAGTACAGCGTACCAAAATATTTAGAAAGATAATGAGTTTAGTGTAACCCTTCGTTGTCATGAAATCTAGTTTCTTGTCGTCAAATAAAGTAATGAACATACATATAATAAACATTAATTTATGCAGAATCATCTGGAGAACACGAAATGTTGAGAATAATTGAAATACATTAATCTTTGGATGACTTAACTTTGATTATGAGCTCTAATTTCCATTACTTTCGAAAAAGCTATTTCTCCCCCCCCCCCGGGGTTCATTAACAAACAAATTAATAATGTCGAGGGTAAGATGACACCCTAATCTAATCAGGGGTTTTTCTATTGATTTCCTGAATTCCGAATAACAAATATACACTTTTTGCTAAAGATATTTTCATAGGTCTCCGCAGTTTGTTGCATCATAAAATTCAGACCACGAAATACTTTAGAAAACCCTGATACTGTTTTCTTTTCTGTTGTTTTGCACAATGCAGAAAGAATGCACTGAAGAAATATGCTCCTTAAAAGTTGCAAAAGAATCCACCGTAGTAAACAGACAACATTGGAAATATTTTGGAAAATTTTGAATTCCAAATAGGAAATACGAAGAACAATTCTAACGATGCATATAAGTGATAGCTAAATAATTCGAGAACTTTTAACAACTAAGCAGCTTGTGATAATTATTTGACACCTTTACATTACGTGGATACTGAAGCATGTATATATTTTGAGACATTGGTTTGTAGTGAGGCATATTTCTTTCCTACCAAACAATCATTTACTGTGTGGGGAGGCAAAAGTATGCGTTCAAACTAATTCCTTTATAATTGGTAAGGTTAAGTAATGTGCCCCTGCCAATATGCTGCCCCCACTGCTTATTTTTGCACCCAGTGCCTCTGGGAAGAGGTCAGCTCGTGTTACGTTTAAATTTTATAATTTTTATATCATTTGCTTAACATAGTAAAAATCTCTTGATCAGTGGCTGGACATAGATCTAAAATTTCTGGAGATTTGGCGAAATAACATAGGAAACATTTCTTAACATAGTAAAAATATCTGGATCGGTGGCTGGATATATATCTAAAATATCTGGATATTTGGCGAAATAACATAGGAAACATTTGTTAACATAGTAAAAATATCTTGATTGGTGGCTGCACATAGATCTAAAATATCTGGAGATTTTGCGAAATAACATAGGAAACATTTGTTAATATAGTAAAAATATATTGATTGGTGGCTGCACATAGATCGAAAATTTCTGGAGATTTGGCGAAATAACATAGGAAACATTTGTTAACATAATAAAAATATCTTGATCGGTGGCTACACATAGATCCAAAATTTCTGGAAATTTAGCGAAATAACATAGGAAACATTTCTTAACATAGTAAAAATCTCTTAAATAGTAATCGTATTAACGTACTGAATACTTTTGCACATCTACAAAATTGATATCAGTATTAGTTTGTTGTATTTTGATTTTATTGCTTTACTAATTGCGAGCTTGCGTCAATGCAGTCAGTGCCATTATGTTGCATAACAGGTAGCATTGTGTGAGTTGCAGAGAGAGGGTTTTGTTTGATTTGTTTGAAATTAAGCACAAAGCTTCACAATGGGCTATCTGTGCTCTGCCCACCATGGGTATCGAAATCCGTTTTCTAGTGTTGGAAGTCTGTAGACATACCGCTGTGCAACTGGGGGGCACAGAGAGAGGGAGTCGTGTATTGGTGCTGATATAATGTAGAACTAATTGCCAGGCGTGTGCGTATAATAAACTATGACTCTGATATCGCCAACTGTTTTATATAGTAAAGCAAAACATATATTAACCTTAATCATTATTATACTAACTTAAAACCACTACTCTCGCATTTCTAACCAGCTCTTTTGCCGGCAGACTCCATCTTGTTGTGAAAATTAAAATGGTGGATAAAAAACGCCTATCTGAAGCTCAGTACCGTAAACGAAAAGTAGAAAGGGAGAAGGAACAAGCAAAACAAGAGGGCTCTTTCCTGAAATATCTTTGCCAACATCCTCAAGATCAAGATAGTTCACAACATGAAATAGATTCTGAGGTAGAAATAGCACATGCATCTATAATCACAGACGTAATAGTTGAGCCAGATAAAGAACATCAGAGTACCTCTGACACAGAATAAATTGTGAAAGCGATTAAACATGACATGATGAATGTAGACCTACTACTAAAATAAGTAAACTGAACTATGGTGATCCTGCTACCTGGTTTGAATATAATGAGCATTTCCGACAAATTCTGGTCGAACATGAACCTGAACAAGTTACAGATTTACACTTTTCTAAGGATGGAAATCGAAGAAAATTTACTATTAATCATAATAAGGCGAGACTTGCAAATGGGGAAGAAATGCATCGTCAGTGGCTGCAGCATTCAGTATCAACACACTCTGTGTTTTGCTTTTGTTGCAAACTTTTCAGCAGGCAAGCATTTGGTTTATCAACACTTGCTGGAAATGTTTGTTTGTTTTGAACTTCGGGCAAAGTACTTGGTATGCAAAACCTTTCATTTCGTGTAACAAATGAGAAATTATACGGTGCAGGTAATTAAAAGTTTTTGAAGTTCTTTGAGTATCTGGCTTTGTTTGGTTTAGTCATGGATGAGCATCTGCGTAAAATAAATGGTCATAAGACACATGTGCATTAACTTGGAAAAGACATATAAAACGAACTGATACAGCTATTAACTAATGCTACTAAAGAAAAAATAATAAAAATTGCTCAGTCTGCAAAGTATTTTTCAATAATCCTAGACTGTACACCTGATGTAAGCCATGTTGATCAGATGACAATGATGATTTGCTTCGTAGATGTTATTAAGTCTACATATATGGGAGCTGCTGAAATAAATGTAAGAGAACATTTCTTGGGTTTTGTTCTATTGAATGATACACCTGGTACTTTCATGACTGAAAGCATCCTTCATCAACATGAAGAACTGTCATTATCCTTGGAGAACTTACGTGGCCAGGGTTATGATAATGGCAGCAACATGAAAGGTAAATATAATGGTGTGCAAAAGAGAATCATGGACACTAACCCTCAGGCATTATTTGTTCCCTGGTATTCACATTCCCTGAATTTGGTTGTAAATGACGCTGCCAGGCGTTGCTTGGAGGCTACAAGCTTCTTTGATTTATTCCAGCGCATTTGTGCATTTTTCTCAGGTTCAACACATCACTGGTATGTTCTCTTACACCATGTGTCATGTCTAACAGTGAAGCCATTAAGTGAAACAAGATGGGAAAGTTGCACTGATACCTTAAAACCCCTTCACTACCATATTGGCGATATCTATGATGCAATTATGGAAATTGCTGATGACATTACCCTTACAGGATCGTCTGGCAATGCAGCACGTATTGAAGCAAAAGCTTTTGCAAATGGGTATTCCAACTTCAAGTTTTTTGTTTCTCTGACGGTATGGTACAATATTCTGTTTGAGGTAAATGTAAGAAGCAAACAACTTCAAGCAAAGGAATATGACGTACATTCTGTTTTCAAACAACTAGAACAAACCAAGAAATTTCTTATAGAATGTAGAATTGACCAAGGGTTTGAAAAGACATTAGTTGATACTTGTGAACTTGCAGAAGAGCTAGAGATATTTACATCCTTTGAACCAGAATCAGTGCACATAAAGAGAAAGAAGAGGCAATTTGCACATGAAGCAGAATACCAGCCTGTTCATATGAAGCAGAAGACCAACGTGTTCATATGAAGCAGAATACCAGCCTGTTCATATGAAGCAGAAGACCAACGTGTTCATATGAAGCAGAAGACCAGCCTGATCATATGAAGCAGAAGGCCAGCCTGTTCATATGAAGCAGAAGACCAGCGTGAGCATATGAAGCAGAAGACCAGCCTGTTCATATGAAGCAGAAGGCCAGCATGTTCATATGAGGCAGAAGACAGTACTTGATGTTGCAATACAGTCAATTAAAGAACGATTTGTGCAATTGTTTCAGCTGAGTTCTGTGTTTGGTTTTCTCTATGATATTAAAAACTTGCAAGGTAAGACACATATAGAAATGATGGAACACTGTGTAAAGCTAGAATCAGCTTTGTAGCATGGTGAATCTAAAGATATTGATGTTGCTGACTTATGCAGTGAAATTCAAACAATTGCACGTCGTCTACTAGAATCTCTGCCACCTCAAGCTGTGCTGAAGGTCATATGTGAACATAGCCTCATTGACAATGTTCCCAATATACTTATTGCATTTCGTATTCTTCTTACTCTGCCTGTTACTATTGCAAGTGGTGAGCGAAGTTTTTCAAAACTTAAATTAATAAAGAGTTACCTTCGATCCACAATGGCGCAACAAAGACTTATTGGATTAGCAACTGTGTCCACAGAGCATGAAATCACTGAAAAACTTGATATCAAGGGACTGATTAGCCAATATGCAAAGATAAGGGCACAAAAAGTGCAACTTTATTATGAAACTGTAAAAATTCGTCAGATTATTGAACTTTGTTTCTTATACATGTATTTCATGTCTTACATTAGGATGTATGTAGTTATGTTTGCAACTTTTTTTGTGTTTTATACGAATAAATATTTTGCTGAAAAAATATTACTATGTAATGTCTTTGTGAAAGAGCTATAGAACCGTGGGGCAAAATAGGTGAGGAGGTGGCGGGCGTAAAATAAACAACTTGCCTGGGGTGCAAAATACCCTAGCGCCGGCGCTGGCCCAAAGTTTTCAGGTTTTCTCATACATCTCATCATAAAGCTTTCTTTGTTCACAGGATTTCAAATCCTCCATGATCTCATAAACATTTTATGATGTCTTACCATTCTCAAATTATTGTCTACGGTAATTGTATATGTTTCTTTAAAGGTTTGAAAACGTTGCAGCATCCAGTCTTTATGAGATAGTGGAAAATATAGTTTTTTTTTCACTATATGTTGTAGAATTCCATTGCAGTTTTAGAAGATTTCATTGTTACTAACTTATTTTTAAATACGTCTTTATTTATTATGTTTTACAGGAACCCTCCTCCACCCAATATTTGTCCTGACGGACAACGACCTACTGTGGTGCTGTCTGAATTGGCCAAGCAAACATTACTTAACTGGTTAAATTCCCACAAGTCATATCCATATCCTACACAGCAAGAAAAACAGATGTTAGCTATCGAAACTGGATTAACAGTCACACAGGTTCGAACTTGGTGTGCCAATTATAGACGAAGAAAGCTTAGCCACAACCGTACATTTCAATGGAAACTGTCTAACAAAAAATGCAGAGGTATCTTTTTATGTGTATCAGTTAACATGGTAAATGCCAGGATGGGATAACTTAATCGTTAGTCTTCAAATATTATTGAGTTCACTATATAAATGCTTGATTTTGATGTTTATTTGTTTGTAGTTAGCATAAAGCTACACAATGAACTATCTATGCTATGCCCACCCTGGGTATAAAAATATGGTTTCTAGCATCATAAGTTGGCAGATTTACTGTTGTGCCACTGGGGTTAGTGTTGTAAAAATAATAAATTCTAATGCTGGTGCACATAAATAGAGAAAAATATTACAAGTAATAGGGAAATAATTATTTCACCTACTTAATATGTATGTCTACTTCAGTCAGATGTTTGGTTATTTATACTCTTAAAATTTGTATACAAAAAAACTTGTCACTGAGATAAATACATCGTTTTTGTTACAGATAGGGCCTTCAACATGTTTCCTTAAGAAAACATGAAAATTTAGTATGTGATACTCACAAAATTAATTAAGTAGTGCTGTTGAGTTATTATTTTGTTATAAATATGAGACACTACAGCTCATATTACAAGCAATGAAAATTTTAAACATTAAACTTTAAAAATAATACTGAACAGTTATTTTAATTTTTCAGTTGCCAAGATCAAATGTTCTCATGAACTGTTTCAAAGGCAAAACAATTCAGAGAGTTTAAAGTATTACCCACCAATAAGTAAAAACAACAACTTTATCAGTAAGGAAACCAAACATAGGCCTTTGTGGTCATCTATTGCTGAAGAACAACTGGAATATCAGAACACATTGGCTGATGAAGTTTTAGCTGCAGAAGCAATGCTTAGTTTGAGTACTAGTCAGAGCACTGGTTCAGAAAGTCAAGATCTTGCATCAAATACAATTTTGTTGAATTCATCTCAAGGTAATGATGATCTTGATATACAGGCACATTCCATATATGCCTTGCCTCAATTTACTTCATCCACATCATTTTGTCATCTTAGTTTCCCACCAGTTGATGAATTTTTTGATGGTCCAAAGCCTGTCCCAGAGCTGTACCAAAATAACCAAGATTTTATGAATACAACAAATAATATTGTCCTCGACCTGACTAATTTTAAAGTTTTAACTCCTACTGAACCACCAGACCTTTCTCATAATGATTTGGAATATATGATATCAGTCACTGGACCCTCAGCAGAACGAGAGACAAGTATTCTGTAATAAAGTTAAGGTTTCTTTTTACTTCTTGAAGATGCTCAAATTTCTTCATACTTTACAAAAATCCATTTTTATGGATATTCTTGGCAAAAATCTTTTGTTTGAAATAATTAATTTTAAGACTTTTTGTAAAAGATATAGAACCAAAGAGCCCTTTTTTGCTTATAAGGAGATTATCACCTTCATATGTTAATTACAGAATCATTTTTTCATCAATAGTTTAACATGTATTCCACAGTAGTTACTATATTTTTAGATAATTATCTCAAAATCTGACTAAATAAAAACTATGAATTATTATATTCTATATTGGCCTGATAGATTAATAATGGCAATATGTTTATGAATTTTACAAAAATAATTTTATTCTGACCAAAATTTTCAGTTGTTTACCTAAGTTATATTTAGTCATTTGTACTAGAACAAAGTTTTTAAAAAACTTGCTGAACATGTATAGCTAAAAACTTAAACCATAATGAAATATATCTATCTTTAAATAAATAGATAAAAAATATTAAAATAAATAAAAACAATTTTTTATTAATTAAGTCTGAGATATACAATTAATGTGGAATTTCTTGTATAAGTATGCTCAGAATTGGTGTAATTTTGTTGTAAGTACATATTTAGATGAAGTTCTTTCTTTCATTGATGAAATTAAACAGCTATTCTTGAATACGTTAATTAAACCTTGTTACTTTGGAATGAAATGACAAGTGTAACTAAATGTGTGAAATTAAACATGAAATGTTTCTATCAGCATATAAGGGGAAAAATATTGTTTTCTACAATATATATATATATAATTGTTATAATTATATTTCAGTGATTTGATTGATTTTCGTCAATTTTTTGTGTGTAATAATATTTCAATTGTGTATTTTTTCTTGATATTAGGAAACAACTCTTCATATCTCTTCACCTTGTTCAGTAAGTCACAAATCATAGTAATGAACATTTGAATTCTGCTTCAATCACTAGTTAGCATAATTGGAATATTTGGAACTATTAATAAATTATAAAAACAGAATACAAAGGAACAAAGAATGGAAATAAGAACATTAAAAATACATGTGTTGTGACTGTATTTAGAAAGCATAACCAAGTCTTCTCAATGTTTTTATCCTAGTGAAGTTAAAAATACCTAGATTAAATTTTAATATCGAAAGTCATGTAGAGATGAGCTATGTATAGCTGTATCATCCCTATATTCTTGTTTGCATTATTTTTGGCACTGCCATCCCCATACCTTTTTAAATTTACAAAATATTTTTTCATTACTTGTATAAAGTTAATAATCGTTATCATCCTAAAAAAAAAAACAATGAATTTTTGGAAAACGAATAGTTTCGGCTACAAGCTAACATCTCATGCAAGTTAGTTGAATACTTCTTCTACTAGCACTATTGATATATTTTTATTACTTTCGTTGTTTTGTTTTTATTTATACCGACATACTACTTGTAACTTTAATACTAAAATCAATTAGAAAGTCTACAAAATTATTAGTAGTAGTTCAGCTGGGTTGTAATCCAACGATTTATATCTCTAATTCTAGTAATGGGATTGATGTAAAAATATAAAAAAACAGTTAAAGAAAAACATTTAAAATTGAATAGTCATAATTATATTTAGAAGAAAAAACAAAGACTACACCTAAATTCATATTTTAGGTTTCTTTAATAAGATGCCTGTTTTAATTTTTTTTTCAAGTCGTCACTCACAACAATTGCATTTTCGCGTATTTTGGACATCAACAATATGAAAACGATTTTCTCGCGAGCATTTTAAGTTCCAATTAATGAAAAATCAATTTTGTAATAAGAATATGTTATCAGATGTCTTAAGCTAACTTTGATGAAACCAAATCTCTAAACTCTAGGGCACATCCACATATATACTACTAGTGTCTGATAAAAAGCCAAGGAGTGAAAATTTACCATGTTAATGTCTGATTGACGTTCGTATTCCTGCATTCGTTTAGATATAATCTGTATCGGCTGAGGCCATAACCGGATTTTTATAGACTAGCTGTGTTGACTACAGAGAAACTGGAAAATAAAGCCTTTGCGGTAATTAATAGAGCAATAAAATAAAACACTGACATTTGATATTACTTTTATTAGTTTCTGGAAGAAATGGGATCTGTGCCTACCTTACATCATTAAATAATACAGTGTTTGTTTGTAATTAAGCACAAAGCTCCACAATGGGCTATCTGTTCTCTTCCCACCACGAGTATCGAAACCCGGATTCTAGCGTTGTAA